TTTTATCTGTATGCAATTTTGTAGTATCATGCATTGGTTATTCAAAAATACTTGTTTACTGAGTAATGTAAACATTTAAAAATTAATGGTTTCATTACACAGTATTTTAAAAATCATCTGTTTAATGTCACCACTGATCTTATCAGAAAGCCTTCAAGTATTGAGAAAGTATCAAGCTCACGAAGGTGGGTACAAAAAATTTTCTAAAAATCTGTTTTTTGCCTGAAAGCTCTTTTTTAACGTTTTTGTCATTTTTTTTTGAGACAAGGTCTCTCTGTTACCAGTGGGCTGGAGTGCATGGCGTAATCATGGCTCATTACAGCCTTGGCCTCCCAGGCTCAAGCCATCTCCTCACCCCTCAGCTTCCTGAGCAGCTGGGACTACAGGCATGTGCAACCACATCCGGCTAATTTTTTTCTTAATTTTTTTGTAGAGACGGGGTATCCTTGTATAGCCCAGGCTGGTCTGGAACTCCCAGGCACAAGCAATCCTCCCACCTCAGTCTTCCAAAGTGTTGGGATGACAGGTGTGAGTCACCACACCCAGCCAAACCTCTCTGGTAACAAACACTCTCAGTTTTATTGAAGTTAACAAATTCACATTTTCAAGAAAATTCCAACTGTCAAAATGTAAACTGATAGTTTGTCAGTGATTTTTCAAGTAAAAACAATGCTCCATGAAAAAAAGCTGCCTAGCTCAGCTCACGACTCTAACAATCACGGTGTTTTTCCTTAAGGTAATCATATTACTTAGGTATCCCAAAGTGCTTTATGCATACATCCTATTTCAAACATTATTTTCAAACCATGTACTCAAAGGTCGAGATTTAATGAAATCAGTCATTTTTATTGCTTCATCGAGAACATTATTAAAGAAAACTGCTTTTTAAATTAATTTCTTTTTCTTTTTTTCTTTCCAGTTGGGGTCTCAAAAAGTTGCCCAGGCTGGTCTCAAACTCCTGGGCTCAAGCAATCCTCCCGCCTCAGCCTCCCAAGTATTGAGATTACAGGCGTGAGCTACTATACCTGTGGTATTTATTTTTCTTTTAGAGACAAGGTCTCACTCTGTCACCCAGGCTTCAGTGCAGTGGCATGATCGTAGCTCACTGTGGCCTAGAACTCCTAAGCTCAAGCAATCCTCCCACACAGACTCCCAAGTAACTAGGACTACAGGCGCGCACCACTACACATAATGAATTTATTTTTTGTAGAGATAGTCTTCTTATGTTGTCTGTGCTGCTCTCCAACTCCTGATCTCAAGTGATCTTCCACTGTGGCATCCCAAAGGACTGGGATTAGAGGAATGAGCCACTGCACCTGGCCCTGCCTTTTACATTTGTTTGCAAACTTCAAGTGTGTGGCAGTGAAGAATTCACTATCTAGTGGTACAGTATGAAGCTACTGCATGAATTCAACCAAGATGCCAGCAGTCTGACTCATCACTGTTTCTGAACTGTCTGTCAGTCTAAAAGTCACCACAATGAAGATAATTTGATGCCCATTGCAGCAGTGCATGCCCATAATTCCAGCTACTCAGGAGGCGGAGATAGGAAGATCACTTGACTCTAAGAGTTCTGGCCTGTGAGAACTAAGCTCAGTGACAATATAATAACCTCCTGGGAGTAGGGGACCACCAAGTTGCCTAAGGAGGGGTGAACTGGCCCAGATTGGAAACAGAGAAGGTTAAACAAAACAAACCCTTAGTATTATTATGTAAAAAGTTTTAACTTTACAGACAACCTGAAAGGGTATTAGGGACATGAGACCACACCTGAACTGTGATTTAAATTAATAGTATAATAGCCTTAAGCAAACAGTTCTCTAAAGATTCTTTTCAAGTTTAATAATGAAAGGTGCCGGGCGCGGTGGCTCAAGCCTGTAATCCCAGCACTGTGGGAGGCCGAGGCGGGTGGATCACAAGGTCAAGAGATCGAGACCATCCTGGTCAACATGGTGAAACCCCGTCTCTACTAAAAATACAAAAAATTAGCTGGGCGTGGTGGCGCGTGCCTGTAATCCCAGC